AACCAGTAAGTACCAAACATCAACCAGTAAGTACCAAACATCAACCAGTAATTACCAAACATCAACCAGTAAGTACCAAACATCAACCAGTAAGTACCAAACATCAACCAGTAATTACCAAACATCAACCAGTAAGTACCAAACATCAACCAGTACTAATGTTTTGTTTCTTTGCTGTTTGTCAGATTATCTGTTCCTGCTGTCTCTCCAAACAACTTCATGTTAGTGTCCAACTAACATTTAAAATAAATGTCTGTAAAAAAAGTACAAATTGTCCTGGAACGTTCAACTCTCAGGAACACTTGAATGTTTTTCTCTCCCGCAGCAGGAGGACAAACTGTTGTCTAACGTTTGAGAAACTGGTTTAACATCCGATCCTTGACGCGTCACATCTGAATACGAAAGTCTAAAACGTGCAGGCGCTGGCGAGCAGTCTCTCTGAAGCTTCGGTGAGTTCATGCTACGTTCAGCTGAAGCTGCGTCACTTGACTCTTAATTTGAAAATCAGCTGTGGGGAGCGCCTCAGGTGGACGTTTGTCTTCAGGCCAGCTGCTGTCCTCAGAGACTGTCCTCACCTGGTTTCTGTCTCAGTATTATCGTAAAACAAACCCTGAAGTTTGAGACGTCAGAAACTTCTAAATGAAGCACTTTGAACCCTGACAGATTAAAAGCTCAACCTGCTCTCCGTTCCTCTGCCGTCGGTTGGTTCTGCTTCCTGGTTTTCCTTAGATAGAGGACTTTACTAATTGGGTTTTCTATGTATGTGAATGTTCTTGTAAAGTGCCCTGAGGCAACTTTGTTGTGATATGTTGTTATATAAATACTCGAGTAAAGTGAATTGAATTGGTTCTGAACTGGTTGTACTGTTTTAGGGAATGGAGCAGCTTTAATTTTTAGTCTCACCTTTCCAGGACGGAAAAACACTTTGGTCAGACCAAACTTGTAGTCGTTCTCGTTCAAACCCAGAGCTTTGAACAGAGCCTGAAACACAAGCAGAAATTCAGCAGATGTTTTAACGTGAAGAAGATTCTGGATCAGGACCTGGACCACAGGACTCACCTTGCAGAAGAGGCGCGGGTCGAGCCGGGTCAGTTTGGGAGGCATGAACTTCTGGTACATGTTGTAGAGCTCATGGAAAGGAGCTCTGGAGGGGAACCCGCCCTGCATCAAGTCCAGAACTGAAACCATACCTGCAGAACCACCAGAGAGAAACACCAGAACTTTTAAATCCACCTCCACATTTACAGACCAGGTGAATTCAGACAAACACACATAATGGAGGAGATAATTTTTACAAGCGTATACTAAATACCAAACAAGATGGAAGAAATGAAAAAAAGGACCAAATGTAAATTTGTTTATGCCCATTAAACAATGGAACACCGTCCGACAGTTAAAAACAAAGAATTTGATGTTTGTGCCGATGACCCCTGCTAACCTACAAGCTAACCTACAAGCTAACCTACAAGCTAACCTACA